TTAAATTATTTGAATCCCACCACTGGAAACTAATCAAGGAGAGAAGCAACTTAGGACTAAGGAGAAATTTCCCGACAGAACAATTAATCAGTGGAACAACTTGCCTCCAGAAGTTTTGAATGCTCCAACACTGGGTGTTTTAAAGAAGAGATTGGATAACCACTTGTCTGAAGTGCTGTAGAGTTCCTTGCCTAAGCAGGGGGTTGGACTAGAAGACCTCCAAGGTCCCTTCCAACTCTGTTATTCTGTTAAGGTCACCAAACTGGCTTCCTGCCTAAGGCAGAATTCACGATCTTCTGCTTTCTAGCCCAGTGCCTTAATCACAATACCAAACTGGCTCTCCCCTGCCACATATTTCAACCACAGTCCTAGTCTTCTTAGAACTTCACCATCTTATTGCTACCTACAGAGGATTTGCACAGTCCTAAGTGGAACCAGCTTATCTACAATTATAGCCAGTACTATGCTGGTTGATGTTAAACAACCAGTTCCATATTCTCCATTGCTACCACTGCACCATGTTGCCAGCCACTACATAGCTGATCAGCGTATTAGGTGTCCTGGCTCAGTTCTGTTCTCATCTGACTTGCAAAATTCAGAAAATTTAACAATTAGTTTTACAAGCCAGTATGAGTCAGGTCTAACCCATCCTTGGTTCCAATGCATGAAACTGAAGCGAAAGCCAATGGTTTTGCAACTGGTGATGCTAATCTTATGGCTTTGGTTTTTATCTTGTTGCAGTTGCTCCCAGGAAAGTCAGAATTCAGAAAGATCCAAGAGGCCAGATTGATGAAGGCATGAATGTTGTGTTGCATTGCGATGTGGGTGAAGCAAATCCCACAAATCTCTCTTATACGTGGTATAAAGATGGGGAAATGATTTTATGGAATTCTCCCCATGCACACTTGAACCTTACAAACATAGATCCAGCACAATCTGGCAGATACTGGTGTGAAGCCAGTAATAGTATGGGCAAGACACCTTCTCCATCAATCGCACTTCACATTATCTGTGAGTAAAAGCATGAGATGCCAATGGATTTATGATAAGGCCTGTTTACTGTTACTAACCACTGGTGATCAGTGTTTGGGTAGCTTTAGGTTGTTGTTGTTAGTTGCGAAGTCATGTCCAACCCATTCCTCCAGGCCTTCCTGATCTCTACCATCCCCCGGACTCCATTTAAGCTCACACCGACTACTTCGGTGACTCCATCCAGCCACCTCATTCTCTTGTCATCCCCTTCTTCTTTTGCCTTCCATCGTTCCAAGAATTAGGCT